GCCCCACCCGAGTGAGAGCAGGGGCTGTGTGGGAAGTGGCGGGGTGGGGGGCAGGCTGCTACGCCCCTGGGCCTGTAAGTGGAGGTGAGGCTGGGGCTCCCCAGGGAGGGTGGGTGCCCCACGTCACCCCAGGAAGGCCAGAGTCCCAGGTTACCCCAAGAAAGCTGGTGCCGGGTCACCCCAGGAAGGCCGGGGCCTCAGGTCACCGGGAGACCTCAGGTGCCCGAGCCCAGTGCTGGAAGGGCCAGGCCGGAGCCTCCCCGGGAGGGCTCACCCCGCTGGAGCGGTGCCCTAGGGCCGGGCAGGCACCGGAGCTCACTGTGGAGAGGACGCCCCTGACCAGGACCCCTTGCGGTGTGGAGCCTGTGAGCGGCCGGCTGACGGCCCCTGACCCGCGGCTCTCAGCCTCTAGCCTCCACCCCCCAGCCTCCCCGAAGCGGGAGGGGGAGGATGCCAGGAGGGCCAGGCCCGGGTTTCCTCCTGCTGTTACCCAGCCCACTCCCACCCCTGGACCCCAGACTCTGAAGGCCACCCTCGGGGCTCAGCTGACAGTCGGGTGTTAATTTGGTGACACTCTGTAGAGGCCTCCCCGGCCCTACAAAGTCTAGTTTCTGCCAGTGGGGGGCTAGAGGGCACACAAGGCCTTGCTCTGTGCCCCACCCCACCCTCCGGCCACCCCAGAAGCCCCCTTGGGCTGGGCGAAGGGTGTCAAGCCTGCCTCTGGAAGCCGCCCCTAGTGGTGAGGGGTCCCCCGTGGGCCTGAGGCGCCCCTCGCCCGACAACAGGGACCCAAAACCATCAGCCCCATACATGCAGGGGGCACCTACCTGAACTGCAGTCAGCACCCATCCGGGCCTCTAAAATGGGGCCTCCCTCTTAAAATGGGGTGCTGGTGCCTTCCTGCATGGGGCACGTGGGTCCCCCAGCTTGATTCAGGCTAGGTTCCAGGGAGCTGTGTGCCAGAGCCCCAGAGCTGGCTGGGGAGGCGCCTAAGGTCACACAGCAAGCGGCCGGAAGCCCTCCCCGGGGGTCCTGCAGCACTGGCCTCTCCCACAGGCCCTGTCCCAGAGGTGAGCGCCGCCCGCCTCCCGCCCCGTGACTCAGCACCCTCGCCGGGCACCACAGGACTTTTGCCCCCTGCGCACCGTGCCGGCCTCCTGCCCCGATCCGTCCAGGCTCTCCCGCCGCACCTGCCCAGGATGCAGGGAGCCGGAGCCCCCAGGCGCCGGGGCCCCTACTCCAGGGAGATAGGCGCTCTGGGCCGTCCCGGGGTCATACTACTCACCTATGCGCTGGTGACCCTGGGGCTCACCTGCCTCTTCATGCGGTTTTCCATCATGCCGGTGAGTGCCCGCCCTCAGCAGCCTGGCCGCCAGCACGGCCGCACTGTCCCCCTCGGCTTCCATCTGTGCAACAGCGGGGCCCCGGGGGTGGGGCCCGTGCTGCCCGAGCCACCCACCACACGGAGCTGAACAGGTTGAGGGACCCGGGGACCGTGCTTCCCGGTCCGCCCGTGGGCACTTCCTGTGCCCTGGTGCACAGCCAGCCCTGCCCCGTGGCAGTGCCCCTCCCCCCGGCCGACCTGGCTCCGGCCCCATTGGCCTATGGATCCACCCGCCGGGACACCTGCTCGGCTCCCGTCCTTCCTGTGCTCGGGCCTCCGCTCAGGCCTTCTCCGCAGCGAGCCTCCCCTCCCAACCCCTGCCCGGACCCTCTGTCCAGGTCCTGCTTGGCCAGCCTTCCTGCCCGATGTCCGCACCCCACATCCTGCCGCATGTGTCCCCGACCGACCGGGACCGAGAGGGCGGGGCTTGACGCATCACCTCCTCTGCTGCCCCCCCCACACCCCCTCCCACCCCCCCGGCCTGGAGCGCTGCCTGGAGCGGTTGGTTAAGCGCCTTGGTCAACACTCAGGGCCCGCCCGCCCACCTTTCATTGATCCCACCTTTGCACCCTTGCTTATTCATTCAACAGACCCGTGTGGGGCTGGCCAGGCTCCCACCCTCTCAGGGCAGCAGCACCCGGGGGGGCTTGAAACGTCCCAGCGCCCCTTCTCTGTCTGGTCTGGGTGGGGCCATGGCACAGCCACTAAAGCCCCCCAGGGGATTCCCGTGAGCGGACTTGTGCCTGGGGATCTGGCTGGGAGGGGGCCGCTGTGGGCATGGCAGGAGCCCCCAGCCAGGTGGCGAACCCTAACCCCTGCCCCAAAGCCCATTTCACTTCTACCAGACAGCCCGGTCCAAGCCCTGACTCCCTTCCTTAGCGGCCAGGTGGCCGGGGCGGACGCCTTGAGGTCCCATCATGAAACGGGTCACGATGTCCCTCCCTGGAAGGGTTGGTGCAGGGAGCGACGAGAGAACAGTTAAAGGCACAGAGCAAAGGCGGCTCTCCCGTGGATGTTGTATGTATCGTTCAGCAAATGCCCATCGAGCACCTACTGTGTGCACCCTGTTCTCAGAACTTCAAATAGAGCAGGCAGGGACTAAACCATCCTTAGGCTGTGCTGTGCATAAGATCATGAGGCGTGCGGGGGGTGCTGGGGCTGCCCACAGACGTGTGGGGGCTTTGGGATCAGGAAAGCCTTCCTGAGAAGGCGGGCTTAAAGGAAACAAAGAGCAAGCCTGGCTAGTTAGTGCAAAGGCCCTGGGGCAGTAGTGAGAACAGTGCAGCTAGAGAGGAGTGAGTGGAGGGGAGAAGGAGGGAAGGCCAGAGAGAGAGGCTGCCAGGACTCCAGGAGGATGCTGGCCGCGGGGAAGGCCCCGCTGCCCTCAAGGTCTGTGAAGGGTGAGCCCAGGAGCCGCCGATGTATTGAATGTGGCTGTGCAACGGTTCATGATTTCAAGCCCCGCATCAGGCTCTGTGCTGACAGCGTGGAGCCTGCTGGGGATTCTCCGTCTCCCTTGCTCTCTGCCCCTCCCCCACTTTCTCTCTCTCAAAAATAAACAAACATTTTTTTAAAAAAAAAGAATGTGGCTGTGCAAGAAAAGAGGGGTTCAGGGAAGACACCAGCGTTTGGACCTGAACCCTTGCCGGGGTGGAGGGGGGTGTCAGCAAGGGAGCAGAGGGGCCGGTCCTGGGGGGAGGCCATGGGGAGTCCGTTCTGGATGTGCTGCATTCCAGATGCTTCTGGACATCGAGTGGAGAGCCGGGGGCAGTTCAGGAGAGAGGTCCCAGGACAGCAGCCGTCCTGGGGACCGAGCGAGGCTCCCTGGAGTGACAGGCGCAGAGCAGCAGGAGGGCGAGCGCCTCCAGGGCTCTGGAGAGACACTGGTCGCTGCCTTTGCCTCCCCAGGTGGGCATGGCTCCAGAGGGGCCAGGAGAGGCTGGAACCCACAAAGAGGAGGCCTGTGTCGTTCGGGGAAGATACTGCAGTCCACGGGGCAGCTTTGAGCGAACGAGGCTAAACCGGTGGGAGCTGGGGGCCCCCCCACCTGTTTGAGGTGCGCCCCGCAGAGGGGAAGGAGGGCCAGCCGCTGCCTGTTAGAGCCTGGCCCCAGAGGCCCCGTGGTCTCCTCGCTGTGGGAGACGCAGCTGAGTCCCAGGCCCCAGGCCCCTCCCAGACCCACCGCAGACTGGTCAGAGCAGCTCCCTCCCGCCCAGCCCGGGGCCACCTCTCCCCCTCCTCACCCTCCGGGGACCCTGGATCCAGACCCTGACCCTTCCCGTGGGCCCCCCTGTGTCTGCAGTACCTGACCCGGAGGCTGGGCCTGGACTCCGTCGCCTTCGGCCACCTGCAGACCACCTTTGGCGCGCTTCAGCTGCTGGGCGGGCCCGTGTTGGGCAGGTACCGTGGGGCAGGGAGTCTGGGGGCCCTCCCCCCAACGATGACCAGGGCCTGCCCCTCGGAGGTCAGGGGCTGGGTCGTGCCAGCCTCTCAGACCGACACTGGGCACAATAGTCCCTTTCATGCCGGGGACCCCTGCTCCCTGGGTCCCTGCCCGCCTCTTCCACGAATTCTGGTTTGTGGCCAAAGAGGGGATTGTCCTGGCAAGGCTGTCGTGGCTGGAAACGTCCAGCATTGCCGAGCTGGGGGTCCCACCAGCGACGCCCCTGGACCCCCACTCCTCCACCGGCCTCAGCGCTGCTGGGGCGTTGGGCTCAGGGACATGAGGGCAGACATCATCCTCCCGCAAACCCTGGGGTGGAGATCCACGTGGCAGG